TTCCGATCATACAAAATTCTCCAGACATTATATATTTTTCGCCAAAAAGTGGGGTTGGGGGCCGGGCCCCCCGGCCCCCTGCTTCCTCCGGCCATGTCAAATATACCTTTTAAATGCACACAAGATACCAAATTAAGATGGTTGCAATACCGAGTAATTCATAGATTTATCGGTGTAAGTTCTTTTCTTTACCAAATTGGTATAAAAGACAGTGATAAATGTACTTTTTGTAATGTTGAACAGGAAAGCATAGAACATCTTTTTTACATTTGTCATGTATCAATAGAGTTTTGGACCAAAATAGCACAATGGATAAAAGAAAAAACAAATTACAACTTAATTATTGATAGAGAAATGTGCATTTTCGGGGCAAGAAGTCCCAAATTGCACGCACTAAACCTTGTTTTGCTCTATGCCGTAGTCATCTACACAAAAGAAAATGCAAGGGAACACCGGAGGTCAAAGTAGCGAAAATAGAAATTGCTTATTATTTTCAAACTATAAAATACATAGCCAGTATTAATGATAAGCTTTATTCTTTTTTGGAAACTTGGACAGATTTTTTAAATTTATTTATTTAATTTGCTTTATATGTTTTGTATACTTTCTTTTTGTTACTGTTTATGTTTTTGAATAAAGTGGAAGAAAAGAGAAAAAAAATGCCTGTATGAAGAAAAGGCTGTTGTTTTTGTAGATGAAAATATGAGAACTAGTTAGTAGATAGAATTAGTTTGCTAAACTGTAATTGAATGTAAATATTTTGAAAATAAACACTGTGAAAGAAAATAAATAATTACAGTACAAACATCAAGTATGATGTGCTATCCATTTATTTATTGTTTTTGAAAATTAAATTTAACACAACAGTGTTTGACTTCTGTATTTTGAATTTAAAATAGTGTTTAATATTCTTCAAACATTGCAACACAATTCAAAAGTTCAAATTCAACACTGTTAAATGGCATCTTACAGTAATTATTTTTCATTTTTTTCTTAGGTAGGTAGGGGACACCCCTTCCAAACCCATCCCACTCAGGCAACGCAATTCAAAAGTTAAAATTCAACACTGTTAAATGACAATTCAAACACTGTTAAATGGCATCTTACAGTAATTATTTTTCTTTTTTTTTCTTAGGTAGGAAAAAACCCACCCCTCCGATGCTGCTCCGCAACAAGTTCCTTCGTCTATTAATACACGATGCTAAACAATCATAAAAGTAAAAACGCGAAAAAATTATAATTATAAACATGAAAGTGTATTACGAATAAATACGGTAAAAATGAGGCTAAATAGCAGTAGCAGCAATAGTAGTGTCTAACAGTAATAGTAGTAGTAGTAGTAATAGTAGTAGTAACAATAATAATAATAATAATAATAATAATAATAATAATGATAATGATGATGATGATAATAAAAATAATAATAATAATAATAATAATAATGATAAT